AAAAAAAAAAAAAAAGTGATACATACACAAGAAGGAATACTATTCAGCTATAAAAAAGAATGAAATATCCTTTGCAGAAACATGGCTGGAACTGGAGGCAACTGTCTTAAGTAAAACAGCTAAGACACAGAAGACAGATGCTGCATGTTCTCAGAAGCAGGAGCTAACTATTGCACACACAGAAGCAGAGTGTGGACAACAGACAATGCAGGAGGGTGGTGGGGTCGTGAGTGATGGGAGGTTGCATGGTGGGCATCATGTGTTGCTCTGATGACATGTGTGCCGAAGAGTCTCATTTTGTCACCCTCAGTAGAGTGCAGTTGCATCACAGCTCACAGCAACCTCCAGCTCTTGGGCTTAGGCAATTCTCTTGCCTCAGCCTCCTGAGTAGCTGGGACTACAGGCACCCGCCACAATACCTGGCTATTTTTATTGTTGTTGTTGTTGTTGCAGTTTGGCCAGGACTGGGTTCAAACCAGCCACACTCTGTATATTGGGCTGGCACCCTACTCACTGAGCTACAGGCGCTGCCCAAGAAAGAATGTTCTTAATTGAAGAGATGGGAAATATAGGAGTAGAGTGAAGAGACATGCCCAGGATTGACCAGTGCTATGGTCTAGATCTTTGACCCTTCAAACCTCATGATGAAATCTGATCACAGTGTCTGAGGCAGAACCACCTGGGAAACATTTAGGTCATGCAGGCAGATCCCTCATGAATGGCCTGGTGCTGTCTTCAAGCTACATTGACTTCTCGATCTATAAGTTCCTCTGAGAGCTAGTTGTTAAAAAGATCCTGGGACTTTCCTCCACCTTGTTTCTCCTCTGCATTAGCCAGTTCCCCTTTACCTTCTGCCATGAGTGGAAGTGAGGCCCTCACCAGGAAGCCAAGCAAATGCCAGCACCATGTTGCCTCTACAGCCTGCAGAACCCTCAGCCAAATAAGCCTCTTTTCTTCATAAATTAACCATTCTTGGTTATGCCTTTACAGCAACACTAAACAGACTAATACAGCCAGAGACTAGGTGGGAGGTCTAAATGCCAGAGCAGAAAGAAGTACTCACCGTGATGGGGAACAGCCTCCCAGGCACCTGCACCACAGGGGCATTACTGAAATAGCTGGAGAACAGGCAGATGTTGATGGTGGCTGACATGAGGATGACCTTGAGGTCAGGCCGCTTGGGCAGCAGGCGCCGGAGGACACCTAAGAGGAAGTCGTTGTGGAGGTGCCGCTCATGGACCTCATCCACGATCAGGACCTCATACTGGGGCAGGTTGGGCTCCCGCTGGATTTGCCGCAGAAGCAACCCCACCGTCAAGAACACAATCTTGGTGGCTGCTGAACGTGTGCTCTCAAAGCGGATCTGGTAGCCGACCTAAAGTGAGAGGGAGGTCCAGTGTTGTGAGAAGACTCCCATTCCCACCCTGCCCAAATTGAAATTCTGAGCAAATATTACGCCTCCACATCAGATTATGCAGTCTAATGGGCCTGGGTTTGAATCTCACCTCTGCCACTGACCTTGAGAAAGCAATGCCATCCCTAAGAGACCCATTTTTTTCTCCCAGATGCTAATATACATAAAGTATCTGGCACATTGCCTAGGGTACATATATTAATTAGTTATAATAATAATAATTAACCTCTCTTTGAGTCCTTACTATGTGCCAGGAACTATTCTAAATCCCTCTTGTTGGGTATGGTGGCTCATGCCTATAATCCTAGCACTCTGGGAAGCTGAAGTGGGAGGATTGCTTGAGTGCAGTAGTTTGAGGCTGCAGTGAGCTATGATCGTGCCACTGTACTCCAGCCTGGGTGACACAGTGAGACCCTATTTCTTTAAAGACCAATGACCAATAGGACATTTCCAATTTTTGCTGTCAAAGTGTTACACTGGTAATTTTCATCGTACCTTTGTCATATGGCCCATATATAAGCCAATCTATAGATAAAGTTCTAATAGAATCACCACTAAGTCAAAGAATTAAGTGCTTAATTTCTATTGAAATGCCATGTAGGCCAAGTGCAATGGTTCATGCCTATAATACTAACACTCCAGGAGGCCAAGGCAGGAGTATCACTTGAGCTTTGGAGTTTCAGAGCAGCCTGAGCAAGAGTGAGACCCCGTCTCTACTAATAATAGAAAAACTAGCCAGGCAATGTGACAGGTGCCTGTAGTCCCAGCTACTCGGGAGGCTGAGACAAGAGGATTGCCCATGTCTAAAAAGTTTGAGGTTGCTGTAAGCTATGATGCCATGGCACTCTACCTAGGGTGACATCTCAAATGAAAAAAAAGACAAGACACTGCCATGTGGATAAGCAACCTATTCCCCAAGGTCACACTGGAAACACTAGAAACTTGGTATGTCCCATGTACCTGTGAGCCATATTGACTGAGACTCTCAAATCCAACACGCTTGGCCAATGAGATGCAGGCAATTCGCCGGGGCTGGGTGCATGCCACATGACTGAAGCCAGCAGCCAGAAGGTACTGAGGCACCTGGGTGGACTTGCCACAGCCCGTGTCACCAGCCACCACCACCACCTGATGCTCCCGCAATGTCTTTAGGATGCGGCTCCCATACTGGGCAATGGGCAGTGCTGCCCGCTCTCGCTGCAGTCTGGCCAGCCGCCCAAATGCCTGTTTCTGGCCAAAGTCTAAGTAGTGCAACAGGGCTCGGCGGAACTCGGACACTCTCTCTGGGGGCAGGTGCCTGCCTGGCCCCCGAGAGTCTCGCATGTCAGGACCAAGGACAGAGAGGTTGATGCGGTAACGAGGATCATACGTGTGAGGCAGGTCAGCCAGTGCTGGAACACTGTGCTTGGGATGCCCAGACTCTTTCTCCTCCTTTCTGGAAGTCTTGAGATTCTGGAATTTCTGCAGGCGTTCAAAGAAGGTCCAGAACTTCTGGCACTCTTCCGAACCCTGACGGATACAATTCTCTTCACGGAAGAAAGCATCTTCCAAGAGGCGACGTGTCTCTGGACAATGCCAGTCCCATTTCTCTAGGGCCTCTTCCTCCCTGGGAGCTTGGCGGTGGTCTTGGTGATCCCTGCTTTCCCTTGTTCTGGGAGGAGACATGTTGCTAACCACAATGCCGTCACAAAAGTGGCCTCAGTTCCAATTACCTGGACCACCTCCAGAGTAAGACGCCAGTGGCTGCAACAAGGAATTACTTTCTTCTCAAAAAGTGAATTTTCTTCATTTGTGGCACATGACTACCACCGATGGCTGAGTTAAGCGGCCAGGGGCCTGTTTGAGCAGGTGACACACAGGGTACCTCATGATTCCTACAGTGATCTTGGGGATGGACACAAGTTTATACTGGGTTCTCAGGATCTGGAGGCTTGGGAAGAGAACAGAAGGCATTCGATCATTATTAGAAATATTTGTGAAAAGCCTGCTATTTCTCAAGCACTGGCCTAGGAAAAGGAGGTAAAGAATAAGACCACTTGGGTCCTCAAAGATGCCCATGGTCACATGAAAGAGACACACACTTCCCCAGACTGACAATCCAGTGATGGGAGCCATGGGAGTGAGTCCAAAAGAGGTGCCTGCCCATACTTGGGAGTCAGGGAAGGATTCCTGAGAGGTCAAACATTCCTAAATGAGGAACAGAAGTCACATGGCCAATAAACAGCAGAACTTTGCAGTAAAAGGAAATAACAAGAGAGGTATGATATAATGGAAAGAATAAGGCAAGAGTTCTTTTTTTTTCTTTTTTTGACAGAGCCTCAAGCTGTCACCCTGGGTAGAGTGCTGTCACATCACAGCTCACAGCAACCTCCAATTCCTGGACTCAAGCAATTCTCTGGCCTCCGCCTTCCAAGTAGCTGGAACTACAGGCGCCTACTACAACACCCTGCTATTTTTTGGTTGCAGCCATCATTGTCGTTTGGCAGGCCTGGGCAGGATTCAAACCTACCAGCTCAGGTGTATGTGACTGGTGCCTTAGCCACTTGAGCCACAGGTGCCAAGGCAAGAGTTCTTAATGTGAGGTCCACTGAGCTTCAGGACATTGAGATTAAATGCAAAATTTTGACTGGGCACAGTGGCGCATGCTTATAATCCTAGCACTTTGGGAGGCTGAGGCAGGAGGATCACTTGAGGCCAGGAGTTCTAGATCAGCCTGGACAAGAGTGAGATTCTGTCTCTACAAAAATATAAAAATTAAAAATTAGCCAAGCATGGGCAGCACCTGTGGCTCAGTGGGCAAGGCGCCAGTCCCATATACCAACAGTGGTGGGTTCAAACCCAGCCCTGGCCAAACTGCAACAAAAAAATAGCTGGGCATGTGGCGGGCACCTGTAGTCCCAGCTACTCAGGAGGCTGAGGCAAGGGAATTGCCTAAGCCCAGGAGTTGGAGGTTGCTGTGAGCTGTGACACCACAGCACTCTACCGAGAGTGATAAAGTGAAACTCTGTCTCCACAGAAAAAAAAAAATTAGCCAAGCATGGTGGCAAGCACCTGTAGTCCCAGCTACTACAGAGACTGAGGCAAGGGGATTACTTGAGGCCAGGAGATTAAGGTTGTAGTGAGCTGTGAGTGTGCCACTGCACTCTTGCCCAAGTAACAGAGTAAGACCCTATCTCTAAATAAATACAAATTTTTGCCAGGATTATATTGTTTGTGTCTACCTGGCACACCCTTTTCTGGAGAACAGTGTCTACATTCCTTTGGAAAACAGCCCTTCCTCAATTCCACATGATTTAAGGGCCTTTAACCCAGAGAACCACTCTTGGTTGGGTAAGTGACATGGGCCTAGCCAATCAGGGTACTCTGCTCCCCCTTTAACTAGTGATTGGCTAGATAACTGAAAAGAGGCCAATCAGGACTCTTCTCTGGAATTTCACTTGGTTACTAGGAGACAAAAAGCTTTCCCTTCATCTAGTGTGACTACACGTTTGACATAAACTTGCAGCTGTTTGTAGTTCTGCAACATGATACGGTCTTCTAGAAATCTATCCTAGAGAAAGCCTGAACATGTTTACAACACACACACACAAATGGACACTGTTCAACTACAGGGAGGAAGGAGAAAGATGGGGGTAGGGGGTGGGGAGCTTGGCAGCATCATTTATTGCCTAAGGCTTAGTTCCCCTCTCCCCTACACAAGAAAATGCCATTTTGCTTAGTTTGGTTTTTGACTCTCAGCTGGAAAAGTCCTAATAAAGAGCATGCCCTCATATGTGCAATTTTCTGGAGGGAAGTTCATAACTCAGACTCTTAAAGAAGTTAATAACCTTTTTTGTTTTTGATAGTCTCACTTTGTTGCCCTCAGTAGAGTGCCATGGCATCACAACTCACAGCAACCTCAAATTCCTAGGCTCAAGCAATTCTCTTGCCTCAGCCTTGCAAGTAGCTGGGACTACAGGTGCCCACCGTAACAACCGGCTATTTTTAGAGACAGATCTTGGTCTTGCTCAGGCTGGTCTCGAACCTATAAGCTCAGGCAATCCACCCACCTCAGCCTTCCAGAGTGCTGGGATTACAGGCATGAGCCACTGTGCTTGGCCTGGTTTATAATCTTAAATGGGTTCAAAGCCTTCCTTGGGAAAGGCTCTGGAATAAGGCAGATCTGGGTTTAATCGCAGCCTTATCATTTACTAGGTATGAGCCCCCTGGAAAATCAATTTGAAATGGTTTTCTTCAACTATAAAGTGGGAGACAGGCCAAGCACAGTGGCTCACATCTGTAACACTTCCAACACTTTGGGAAGCTGAAGCAGGAGGATCACTTGCGGGCAGAAGGATCACTTCAGGCCAGTTCAAGACCAGCCAGGACAAAACAGCAAGATCCCCATCTCTACATAAAAATAAGAAAAACTAGCTGGGTATAGTGGCACATACCTGTAGTCTCAACTTACCCAGGAGGCTGAGGCAGAAAGACTGCTCATGCCCAAGAGTTAGAGCCACAATGAGTTATGATCACAGCACTACATTCCAGCCTGGGTGACAGAGCAAGAATCTGTCCCCATTTAAAAATAAGACAGGCCAGGTGTGGTAGCTGTTAATCCTAGCACTCTGGGAGGCCAAGGCAGATGGATTGCCTGAGCTCAGGAGTTAGAGACCAACCTGAGCCAGAGTAAGACCTCGTCTCTAAAAATACAGCCACCTGTAATCCCAGCTACTTGAGGGGCTGAGGCAAGAGAATTACTTAAGCCCAACCCCACGAGTTTGAGTTTGCTGTGAGCTGTGACACCTCAGCACTCTACCCAGAGCAACTGAGACTCTGTCTCAAAAAAAATAAAAACAAAATTGAGACAATATATCCTAAAACACTGCAATGTTTATCATATAGCTTAGTTCCCTTCTAAAAAGCTAAACAGTGACTAGTTTTCCCCCTCCTGTAACAGAGGTGACTAACATGAGGAAAACAAGAGGAACTGTGGCCTAACACCTGGAAAAAACATTCAACCCAAAGGGCCATAATTTCCCCTTCATACTGGTATTAGCAATTCTTCACCTACTCTGCCTTCACTCTCTCAAAGGCTATCATGGAACAGCTTAGAGATTGGATCTCTGCATTTTGCGGGGCAGGTGGAAGGAACTCAGACCAACCTGAGGAGTTACTAGAGGCAGATACAGATTTCAGGTTTTGAGGAAGAATTTGTGTGCTGGCAGAGTTGTTCTCTATAGAAACAGCAGCCTGTGGGGAATTCACATCACTGCTTGCTTAACACATGGGCAGGGTGATACTGGGTTGTTTCGGAAGGAATTCCCGTTCTAGGAGGAAAGAAAGATGAGGCCTTGGAGGGCTACTGTGATATGAGCAAGTGATTTTCAGAAAAGGGCAGAGACAGCATGTGCATGCTGAGCCCAAATGAAGGCATCCCATGCTTCTCAAAGAGTCTACTCTCTTAGGCTTTTAGATTGTCTAAATCCTCTAATTTCTATGTCTCTGACCAGCTCTTGGCCTATTTCTCCTAGGCCCCATGGCCCACAGGCGCTCCATCTTCAGGCCTCCAACTCCTTGGGCCCACCTTGCTCACCTCATCTAAGTCCATTTTTCAGTATGATTTCCCCCATAACCCAGCTGACTCTCTTCATCTCTCTTCAGTTCTCCATTTGTCTTTCTGCTTTTCTTTTTGAGTATTTTTTTTTGTTGGCTCTCCACTTTCGTCTCCCTCCAGTTCTCACTCGCCATCACCACCACTCCATTTCTCCATCTAATTCTTTGTCTCCCAATGATCTGAAGCTTTAATAAGTAACACTTACATACTGCTAACTCTTGTACATCTTCTAAATCATACACATGTACAAATTACATACATGCACGTACACTTTTCTCAAAACCCTAAAGAAAGTACTATCCTTCCAGGTGCCATAGCTCACACCTGTATCCTAGCACTCTGGGAGGCCGATGCAGGTGGATTGCTTCAGTTCAGGAGTTCAAGACCAGCCTGATCAAGAGCGAGATAACTTGCCAGATGTGGTGGCAGGTAGCTGAGACCTCAGGTGCTGAGGCAAGGGAATCACTTGAGCCCAGGAATTTGAAGTTGCTGTGAGCTAAGATGCCACGGCAGTCTAGCCAGGGCAACAGAGACTGTCTCAAAAGTAAGTAAATAAATAAAGTGGTGTATCAGCCCCCATCTTACTGAGCCAGAGACGTTAATTAAGTAGTAAGTGGCAGATATAGAATTCAAATATAGAGATTCGGGTTCTATTTCCTCCTTTCTCCATCATCTCCAATTCTTGTCGAGTTCTATTTCACTGTCTCAGTCTTTATCAACCTCTCCTCTCCCCGGTCTCGCTTCTCCATTATTTCCTTCTGGGAATACACCCACTTTGCTGGTGTGTCTTCCCGGTCGACCTCACACTCAACTTCCAATAAACCTCTACCAAGTTTTTTAAGTTAAAATAAATCTCTCCTCTCTCTGGTCTCTCTCTCTACGCTAACGTCCGATATTTCTTTCTGTATTTCCCTGCACCTCCCGAGTTCACCGTAAGACCTCGCTTCTCTCGACCTCGTGGCCTCCGTGCGCATCTCTCGGTAGACCCCAACAGCCCCTTGCCCACGGTGTCCCCGGCTCTCTGCTGTCCTACTCTCTCATCCTCCCCAGGCATACTCAGCCTCCATCCCAGTCCGTTTCTAGGCACCCCGCGCCTTCCTCCCACATTTCTTCTCATCTCAGAACTTCCCAGGCTCCTGCGATCACTTTCCAACTACACCCCACAAGCTCCGACACTTGCCACTGTCGGCGCGTGGGGTCGTCCCGCCCTCTCACCTCACTAACCAGCTCGAATGCCTCAACTTCCGGTGCCGATAGCTTCTTCCGCCCCCGCAGCCAGCCCTGCGCCTGCGCGCGCCGCCCTACAGCCAGGCGGAAGCTGCGAGAGGCCTGAGACCCACCACGCGCCTGCGCACAGTACGCTCCCCACCCCCTCCTTGCTTTGGTCGGAGCCTCAAGTGACTGCGCCCTCTAGAGGCCTATGGAGGCGTTGCGTAGAGACGTGCAAGCCCCTTTTCTCAGGCTGGTACCGGTCAAGGGCGGTCACCGGCGCCCCAGGATCACCGGGATTGCTGGGGTTTCACCTGGTGCCAAAAAGGTTGGGGAGCGCAGGCTTAATGTATATTGATAACACTGTAATACCATATAATTTTATGCTGATCCATACTTCCGTGTTACTTTTTAGTTTGATACTCATGTTGCATGTTACCTTCTGTTTGAGAACTTTGGGTTATATGGCCACTGGATCTAATCTGCTCAGACTACTTGAAACTTTTCTACAGCTGGAAAGGGTGAAGCTTAATAAAATATTTTATATAGGGCGGCGCCTTTGGCTCAGTGAGTAGGGCGCCGGCCCCATATACCTAGGGTAGTGGGTTCAAACCTGGCCCCTGACAAACTGCAACAAAAAAATAGTCGGGGGGCAGCGCCTGTGACTCAGAGGAGTAGGGCTCCGGCCTTATATGCTGGAGGTGACGAGTTCAATCCCAGCGCCGGCCAAAAACTGCCAAAAAAAAAAAAAAAAAAAAGTTGGGCGTTGTGGTGGGCGCCTGTAGTCCCAGCTACTCGGGAGGCTGAGGCAAGAGAATCGCCTAAACTCAGGAGTTGGAGGTTGCTGTGAGCTGTGACGCTACAGCACTCAACCGAGGGCGTCAGAGTGAGACTCTGTCTCAAAAAAAAAAAAAAAGTTTTATACAAGGAAGTATGAAGCTTATGCTGGAACTTAAGTGTTTGGGGCTCTATAGGAGTGTGGTAAGTGGAGTGGAAAAAACCAAGCAACTACAATTGGGTTTCCCTCCTCCCCCTAGATTTATAACCTCATTCTGCAGTTGAAAAATTTGGAACTTTCCACTGTTCACTGTGGATAGGAATAAAGTGATTTGTTAAAGAAAGCCATTTCCAGCCAGATACAGTGATTCCCACCTGTAATCTCTAGCACCCAGAGAGGTCAAGGCGGGCAGATCCTATGAGCTCAGGAGTTGAAGATCAGCCTGAACAAGAGTTGGACCCTCTACCCCACCGTCTCTATTAAAAAATAGAAAAAAATAGCTGGACGTGGCAGGCGCCTATAGTCCCAGCTACTTGGGAGTCTGAGACAGGATGGTCACTTGAACCCAGGAGTTTGAGGTTGCAGTGAGCTGCAATGTTGCCGCTGCACTCTAGCGTGGGTGATAGTGTGAGGCTGTCTAAAGAAAGAAAGGAAGAAAAAAAGGAAGGAGGGAGGGAGAGAGGAAAGAAAAGGAAGGAAGGGAAAAAAGAAAAGAAAGAACAGAAAAGAGCTATTTCTTACATTTTGAATTCTGGAAATAATTAGGGTTTGACCAAAGATAATGATGTTAACAATTGTATGTGGTATGAGATACAGTATTTTTTGAAGTGAGAATAGAAAAGCAGATTTTTTTACTTCCTTAAAAAATGAACTTAAGAACAAAAAAGGAAAAGTTACAAGAAAAGCAGATGACAATCAAAGAAATTTTACTTATCATTGCACAAAAATACATTTGAAAGTGCCTGTGAAATTTATTTTTTTTTCTTTCCCTTCCTACAGCACCCAGTATTCCCAGGTAAATTCCCCTCCAAATACTAACCAGGCTCAACCCCACTTAGCTTCTGAGATCAGATGAGATTGGGTACATTCAGGAGGAATTTTTTTTCTTCTAAAAAAGGAAGGCTAGTGAAATAAGACATGAAAAAAAATCTTTAAACCACAAAAGATATTTTACAAAAGTAGGCTCGGCGCCTATAGCTCAATCGGCTAAGGCGTCAGCCATGTACACCTAAGGTGGCGGGTTCGAATCCCCAGCCCGGACCCACCAAACAACAATGATGGCTGCAACCAAAAAATAGCCGGGCGTTGTGGCGGGCACCTGTGGTCCCAGCTACTTGGGAGGCGGAGGCAAGAGACT